TGATCCTGGGGGCTGTCGAGCTGGCTGGGCATACCTTGTCCTGATCCTGGGGGCTGTCGAGCTGGCTGGGCATACCTTGTCCTGATCCTGGGGGCCAGTGAGCTGGCTGGACATACCTTGTCCTGATCCTGGGGGCTAGTGAGCTGGCTGGGCATACCTTGTCCTGATCCTGGGGGCCAGTGAGCTGGCTGGGCATACCTTGTCTTGAGCCTTCCTGAGAAACAGGGAGGGCTCAGCCCTAATCCTTGAGAAAATGGAGGCTCAGTGGGAGTGTGGGCCCTATTTTAAGCTCACTAAAGAGAAAGGGTTTAAATTGATGTCAGCAGGCCACCAGCCCCTCTGCTACACAGCAAGTGGCAGTGACTCCCCCTTCTGTAGTCCTGGGTCCCGGGGGAAGGTGTACGCACAGGAGGTGACTAAGTTCTCTAGGAGAGTGGCCCAGTGTATCCCCCAAGACGTCCCTGAGTTCATGGTAAGTCGTGGCTCCTCCCTCACCCTTGAGATGTGCGACCCTGGCTGCCCTCAACCTCCTCTCCTGCACCTTGTCATCTCCGGCCAGTGTCACTTACCTGGGAGCTCAGGTACTGGGGAGCCAAGCAGGGGTGCCCCAGTACAGAGCCTCTGCGCTTCCTCCTGGTCCTTTGCCACCACCTTTGACTTCTGCACCAGCGCCACTGCCTCCTTCCTGCCCTGTGGCGGCCGGCAGCGGCCGGCTGGGCTGCTGCTTCTCACCCTGGCACCTCCTAGGAAGCTCTTGGCTGCTGACAGCCAGCTGCTGTCCAGCTTCAGCTTTTTTGTTGTTGGTTGTCCTGGAGATGTAGGTGTCAGATTACCATGGTGAGGCGGAGCCAGAGGGAGCCCTCCCCGAGCTTGTCCTGTACTTCACACCCAGTGCCTTCCCTGCCCAGGAGCTCCACTCTGCTCTCCGGATCCCCAGAAGGGCTCCCTCACTTACTCTTGCCCTGCTCTGCCCACCACCCGCCTGGGGGCCAGGCTGTAGGCTGAGGGCGGGCTAATGACTGAGTGGTTGACTGTGCTTCCCTGTGGAAATAACCCCAGGGGGCTCAGTCTGAGGCTGCTGGGGGAAGAGGGTGGAGCAGCTCCCTCTTGAGTGCCCCACCACCCTCTGGATGGCCTTTTTGGCTTGTGTCCCTGACCACCCCAGTCTGTCTCTTGGGCCACTCCCTGGCTACTCCCTCTGGCCTCTCCCAGGAAGAAAAACAGGAGCTATGGGACCACCCAAGCAAGTCAGTAAGCTTTGCAAGCTCCCTCTGGTGTGGTACTTTTGCCACACAACATTCAGAGGCATCTTGCAGGAAGTTTGAGGTTCCTAAATGTCTTAAAAGTAGCCTGCTTGTTTTGGTGAGAGGCCTTGTGTCCCTCCTAAGAGAAAGGACACTGTTGGTCTCATGCTGCTCAGCTGTCTCCACACTCCTGCCCTGTTGTCCAGTGGCCAGGCCCATTAATGGTTGACTGTCTTGCCACCCAGCAGACCAGGCTGCAGCGGGAGAAACTGACCTCAGCCCTGCAGTCAATGGAGCCCTTTGAATCTGAGTACAAAACCCCAGTGAGTCAGAGCTGGGGAGCAGGGTGTCAACAACCATATGGCCACAGCGCCTAGATGCCAAAGCTCCTCAGAGACAGGACAAGCCACCTCTGTACAGGCAACAGTCTTGAGCAGAGGGAACAGTTGTCATATCTATTCAGTGTTAATGGAGCAGGCTGCAAGAGTGCCCCCCAGTGGCTGTCTCCTGCTGCTTTTGTCCAGTTTTAGGACCCTGTTCTTCACTCGGCAGGAGGACCCTACTTCTTTAGGGGGTTGTGTTACAATTGGCTGCTCTCTGGGGTCAGATCCCCAAGCAGTACTCATACTAAGAAGAGCTCCGTTAGAGGCGATTTTTGCCAGCTCTTCTTGTCCGTACGACTGGGCACTCAAACTGCACTGCCTCTGGCGTCTTTTTCTCGGGCTCTCCAGCCCCACACCACAATGCTAGCAGTAGGAACGACTGTTTGCAGGGACACACACTCCCAGGGCCTCAGCCTGGGGATCAGAACAGAGACTGAGGCCCCTGCACCAGGTAGAGGCTGCTCCTGCCAGCAGCTCGGGCAGAGTGGTTCCCCGAAGGGACGTCTGGAAGTGGGGAGCTCTAGTGGCATCTCCCGACTGAGGGGGTTCACTGGTGACTGGGCACGATGGCCGCACTCAAAACCGGCGTCTCTAGGACAGTGGTCCTCAACCTCCTAACACCTCGACCTTTAAAGCACGCTGTGGTGACCCCAACCGTAACATTGTTTTCATTGCTGCTTCATAGCTGTGATGTTGCTACTGTGATGAATCACAGTGTAAATGTCTGTGTTTTCCGATGGTCTTAGGTGACCCCTCTGAAACAGCCGTCCAACCCCAGAGGGACTGCGACCCACGGGTTGAGAACACTGCTCTAGGAGCTGTGCCAGGTGCAGCCAGGGGCTCATGGGGGCCAAGGGAGCCAAAGGTCTCTAAGGAAAGATCAAGATATGAGTGAAAACTAGCTGTGAGAGCTCATGCCTGCAATCCCAGAACTCAGGAATCTGAAGCAGGAGGCTCATGTGTTCAAGGCCATCCTGAGCAATAGTGAGACCCTATCTTAAGAAACAAAACAAAAAGCCAGTGTGGTGGCGCACACCTTTAATCCCAACACTTGGGAGGCAGAGGCAGGCAGATCTGAGTTTGAGGCCAGCCTGGTCTACATAGTGAGTCGTGGGCCAGTCTCTGCTACGTAGTGAGACCCTGTCTCTAACGGAAGAAAATCCTGCGGACAGGCTAGGCCCTCTCCTTCTCCCTCCCTCTCCTACAGGAGGAGGATCCCTGTAGAGCATCCCACCAGTGCTCACAGCCTGTGGGGTGCCCCCCATCACGCTGCACTGTACCACTGCTCCTTTAGCAGCGCAAGTGCACGGGCCATGGAGTTCAGAGGTGAAATGTCGGCAAAGCCATATCTGTGCCAGAGCCTCCACTCGCCGGGTCATTCCACCACTGCGGGTAGAGGGAAGAGCAGGGTCCTAGAGCTCACAGAACAGAATGGGGTTCACATCCTGGCTCCCAGTCACCCAGTATATGACTGTAGGAAGACTACTTTATCTCATTGGCCCAACTCTGCAATGGGCAGCACCAGATGATGCTTTACCAAGCCCTTGTAAATAAACGGTATAGGACAGGGACTGGAGAGATGACTCAGTGGTTCAGAGCTTACACTGTGTTTGCAGGACCCCAGTGTAGTTCTCAGCACCCCTTCATAAGCATCAGGAACAAGTTCTAACTGATCTGGCACTCTCCTGACCTCAGGCACTCGGGTCACGGACACACAGAAAACACATTTTAAGCATGTTTTGGGAAGGTCTGAAGCATCCCGCGTGGTGCTGGATAGTGAACCCGTGTTTGGAGGGTGGAACAACAACACTGCTGCCTCCGCCCTCACCCACTGGCACTGCCTACTCCAGGTGCCGCCATGCTGCCATTGCTAAGTACTTTGGGGATGCACCACCTGCCTGCGCCAAAGGCTGTGACCACTGCCAGAGTCCTGCAGCCGTAAAGAAGAAGCTTGATGCCCTAGAGCACAGCAGCAGCTGGAGCAAGACCTGCATCGGGCCCTTCCAGGGGAACGGCTTTGATCCTGAGCTGTATGAGGGAGGCCGCAGAGGCTATGGGGGCTTCAGCAGGTGAGGGATTGTGAAATGCATCAGCTGGTACTAGGCAGGCCAAAGGTAGCCTTTTGTTTGGTTTTTCAATACAGGGTTTCTCTGTGTAGTTTTGGTGCCTGTCCTGAATCTCGCTCTGTAGACCAGGCTGGCCTTGAACTCACAGAGATCTACCTGGCTCTGCCTCCCAAGTGCTGGGATTAAAGACGTGCGCCACCACTGCCTGGTCAAAGGTAACCTTCTGCGGTGTGGCATGTGACTCTTCCTGGGGCCTGGTCTTTAACGTTGTGCCGGAACATCACTGTCCCAACAAGCGGCATAAGTGGGGAAGAGCGGAGCCCAGACCTTGACTGCTCACACCTAGCCTGTCCTCTAGGTATGATGAAGGTTCCGGAGGTAGCGGTGATGAGGGCAGAGATGAGGCCCACAAGCGGGAATGGAATCTTTTCTATCAGAAACAGATGAGCCTGCGCAAGGTAAAGGGGGCAGAGGCCTTGATGGGGCTCAGTGGCTCTGTTAGTTTGGTTTCTGTTGTTGTGACAAAACACCGTGTATGACCAAAAGCAACTTGGGAAGCAAAGGGTTTATCTGGCTGACACTTGCCCATCATTGTCCAGCATCAGGGGAGGTCAGGGCTCAAGTCAGGAACCATGGAGGAGTACTGCTCACTCGCTGAGCTTGTTTATACAACCCAGGACCACTTGCCCAGGAATGGCAAAACCCATAGTAATCTGGACCCTCCCACATCGAAATGTCCCACAGACCAGTCTCCACTGAGGTTCCCTCTTCCCTAGTTTCTGTCAAATAATAATAATAATAAAAAAAAAACCCTAAGCCGGCATGATAGCACATGGCTTTAATCCTAGCACTTGGGAGGCAGAGGCAGGCAGGGAGCTCTGAGAACAAGGGCAGGGGTGACATAGTGAAACCCTGTCTCAAATGCATCCCCTCCACCCCCCAAAAAATAACCAGCACACGGTGGTCCATGCAAGGTCCTGGGTAGTCCCGTTTACCACCTCAGTCCCTTCTCTAGCCCTCAGTGGGAGCTGCCCTGTAGAGGACAGGATGCCTCATGGTCCCTCCTGCTGTCTGTCTTCCAGGGCAAAGAGCCCAAGATAGAAGAATTCACACCCCCAGGTTGGTACAGAAATGCCCCCAGGGCCTTGGGTGCTGTGCCTGGGTGTGGACAGTGGATGGCTCAGTGAGGGTGGGAGGGCTCCAGAGAGCTGGTCACGTGGGAAGCCCTTCTGCCTTTTCACAGATGAAGACTGTCCCCTGAGAGAGGCTTCAAGCAGGAAGATCCCTAAGCTCACGGTGAAGGTGAGAGAAGAGCCTCTCCACTTTCCCTCAGGCCCTCCCGACCCTGAGGGTGGCTGACCAAGCCTTCCCTCTCCTCCTAGGCCCGTGAGCACTGCCTGCGGCTTCTGGAGGAGGCTCTGAGCAGTAATCACCAGGGTGCAGGGGCCACTGAGGGGTGAGTGTCCCAGGATCCACAGGGTGGGCTCCAGGCCTTAGTCCTTCAGAGAACGCCTCTCTGCAGGTTGTGGCCCCTCCCACTCCATGGCTCTCAGTCCCGCAGCCCTACTGGGTGTGCACCAGAGACTGCCAGAGGCTACGGCAGACAGTAAGGGCACCAGAGACTCCTGATCAGACCCATGTGCCCATCCTCACCAGGCCCTGAAGCTGAGAAACCAGGAGGACCACAGGGAGAGGACTCAGACCTGCCTCTTCTCTTGTTCTCATTCCTTCCCACAGAGCTGACCTGCAGGCCAAGGCTGTGGAGCTGGAGCATGCAGCATTTCAAAATGCCAAGATGGTCAACCTGTACAAGGCCAGTGTTCTGAAGAAGGTAGGCCTAGGGCCAGGGGGCAGGCAGGGTAGAGCGTGCTCATGGGCTGAGGGCAGCCTCCTGTATTCAGAGTCCACCTGCCAGCCTGCTGGCCCTAGAGCCATTGCCAGTGGTAAAGCTAACTGGAGGTGTCCTAGCCATCCCAGTGGGAACTAGCACTTCCCCAGCACCCACTCCCCCGTAATGCACAGCAGAGTTGGAGGATCTGGATTGGGGCTAAGCAGTAGCTTGTGGGTGCCTGATCTCCCCGCCTGTCCCTCTGTAGGTGGCCGAGATCCACAAGGCCTCCAGGGATGGTCAGCTCTATGACGTGGAAGGTGGCAGCAGGAGGTGCAGTTCCGGGGCTGAGACCTCGCAGCCCAGTGACTATGACATCCCACCAACCTCACATGTCTACTCGGTGAGCGGCATCCAGGGGCCACTCCTCACCTAGGCCAGGGAAGGCTCCACTTCCCTTTGTCCTCAGGTGGGACAGACAGACTTATCCTCTCCTGGTATCACAGCCCTGCCCAACCCAGATGTCAGGAGAGGCCATGAGCATCTCTGTGTTTGTGTTTGTGGCCCCACCCTCCAGCTGTGCCTGTACAGCTCTCCTCACACGTTCCGAGAGCCTCTCACCACAGCCACAGCCGCCTTTGAGGTCTGGGGTCCTGAGCCTTCTGACTTCTTCCTCTTTCTCCTCACAGCTCAAACCCAAGAGAGTAGGAGCCGGCTTCCCCAAAGGCTCCTGCCCATTCCAGACGGCCACAGAACTGTTGGGGAAGTCGCAGACCCAGAAGCCAGCCCCCGAGGCAGTGCTGGAAGGTGAACAGGGTCCCCCAGGCCTTCAAGATGAAGACAGGAACAAGCCCCTCCCTGGGTACCAAGGAGAGGCTCCTGGAAGTAGTGTTAATTTTGGGGAGCTCTCGCCAGAGAAGAGGACAAAAGGCTCTTCCCAGTGCAGTGCCAAGACCAGAGCCAGCAAGAACCAGCAGCTCCTCGCTGCAGCGGCCCTCAAGGACTCCCAGAACATCACTCGATTCCTCTGTCAGAGAAGAGAAAACCCACCGTTACCTGCTGCAGTCCCAAGATCAGAAGGTACCACCCCCTCCTGTGGGGATGTGCCGGAGAACCCCACAGATGGAGCTCGGGGACATTTGAATACTCTACTTCAGACTGAGTGTCCCAGGGAGGAACCAAGGTAAGAGTTCAGGTTTCTGGGAATCCTGTTCTTAGGGTAGCATCCGACCCCTTTGCTACCTGGGCCTCTGAAGTTTGAAGCTCATTCACAGGTGGGCCCTGCTGGGCTGCCTAGACCCAGACCTCCAATGCCCTTCTTCCTTCCGGCCAGCACCTGCTCACTCACTGAAGGTCAGCCTAGCCCTCGAAAGGACATCCAGCCAGGCAAGAGGCCCAGACCCCAGAAGGTACTGGAGGAGGAGAGCCAGGTGAGGCGGAGAGCTGCCCTGGGTCAAGGGTTAAGGTCAGGGAAGACCACTTCTCATAACCTAGCAGCAGGTGGGATGGGCGGAAGGCAGGCTCCTGGTGCTGAGGTGCAGACTTCCTTCAGATGGGAGGGTAGAGCCCACAAAGGGGAGCTCCAAAGTGACCCTCCGTGCTGTGGCCCTATCCAGGAGAGCTCAGAGAGGGGGACCCAGAAGAGGCTTCGCCCCTCAACCAAGTCCTCCATCTTGGCTGAGGCCAAGGACAGTGCCTTGGCCGGCAATCATAACGCCGAGAATAAAGTCGCCCGAGAACCGTGCCAGCTCTCAGCTCCTGGCATCTCCGTGAAAGAGGCTGCAGATGTTGTGGTCAGGTACCTGACCCCCTTCTACAAGGAAGGCAGGTTCATATCCAAGGTAGGAGAGTGGGCCTGGGGTGTTTGGGTCAATGCAGGGAGCCTGGGGTGGCAAGGAGTGTACACCCCTGAATGAAATAGGGCAGAGAAGGCCAAGCCTTGAGCCAAGGCCAGCTTCTGCCCACTCGGTCTGCCTTGCCCTTGGCGGTGATGGCTCCAAGGTTCCTTCCTCTTCCCTTTGCTTTCTAGGAATTGTTTAAAGGCTTTGCCCGCCACCTCTCACATTTGCTGGCTCAGAAGGTCTCTCCTGGAAGGACTGGTGAGTGCCAACCTGGCCAGGGCCAGAAGGCACTGTGGGGACAGGGAAGGGACAGCTGTCAGGTCCTTACCTCCTCCTGTGTCCCCTCCCCACATCTACAGTGAAGGAAGAAGCCCAGAGTCTCATCAAGCAGTTTTTCCATGACCGGGCCCGGTGTGAGAGTGAAGCTGACTGGCGTGGCCTGTGTGGCCCACAGAGATGAGCTGCTGCTGGCTGAACAGGGTCAGCGCCCCCTCCTCTGTCCTGGGCAGGCCCATGCCAGAGCCCCCAACATTCTCAGGGTCACCCCCACGCCCCAGACCCAACTTTAGAGGCGTCACTAGACCCCCAGATCAGGTGGAAGGTCAGAGGTTAGCACCTTCCTGCTTAAAACCCCCGTGGTCTTTTCTCTCAGCCTGCTTCTCCTGGCCTTCATGGCCAGGTCACCAGATTAGAAGGTTCAGATGGTATGGCCGCTGCCAAAGAAAAACCAGTCACCTTCCCATCTTGTCCTTAAGTTCTTTGCCAGGGTGAGTGAGGCCCCTCCCCGTCCTTCATAGCCCGCCCTCTTCCGGTCAAGAAGGCCAGACCCAATTGAAACGTTTGCAGGAATAAAGTCCTCCTTGAGATACACGCTCACACACGCTCCTTTTCTTGGGCGTTTTATTTGTGCAGAAGCCGCTTCATCCAGGCCCTCCCTGTGCTGGCCCTAGAGCTGAGTGGGCATTTTCCCCAGGCAGGACGTCAGATGCCCAAGCCAAGTTCCTACAGCCCAGCTCTGGGCTGAGCACACCCCGAGGGAGCGTCTGCTCGCTTTCCCAGTTGACGTCACTGTGGCAGCCCCTGCCTGAGAGCCTCCCCGTGGGGTTGTGCTGCGGGAAGTTTCCGCAGGGCCAGGCAGCGAAGACAGACGAGAACCACCCAACATCCAAGGCAGACTGCCCAGTGAGACCCTGCTGCCTTATCTCCACTCTTCTCAGCTGAGGCCTGGCCACTGCATGGAGGACATGCTGCCCTCCATCAGGAAGACAATGGTGTGCTGCAGCTCCTGGGCCTGCCGTGGGGGGGAAGACAGAGAGACGGTTCAGTATGGCTATCCCACGCCCTCCCACGCCCACACTGCTCCTAAACAGACCAGTGACCTGGGACTGCAGATGCCTTGGCCACTCACTTGAGGCAACTCCAACCAGATAGTCTGGGGGTTGTCAGCAGAGCCGTAGTTGAGTTCCAGGCCAGGGGGCCCATTGTCCTCCAGCGGGCTAAGCAGGTGGAGCCGCTGCAGGTCTTTTAGGGGGATGGAGCAGCAGAGTTTCTAGGGTAGCGAATACAGCAGAGTGGCGTGGGGGTGGGGTAGCAGTGAATGGTATGAGAGGTCTGGCCTGGGGTCTGAGCCAGCGCCAGACCAGGGGCTCTACCTACCTGGGAGCTGGGCTCCATGAGGACAAGGTGTTGGCGGTTGAGCCCCAGGAGGACAGGCCCGGGAAGGACCAGCTTACTCACTCTCAGCACCACATACACAGTGTAGCCAAAGAGGGGCAGCTGGGCCGTGGTCTCTGTGGGTAGAGGAGCAGGACATGAGTCTTGGCTGCAGATCTCTGGACCTGCCTCACCTTGCTCCCCAGGGAAAGTGAAGGGTGACTGGGCAGAGGCCTCCTCATCCCTTCCTCCTGGGCCTTGACCATCACACCCAACTGTCCCTTTATGCAGACCTACCAATAAAGTCAATCTGGGCTCTCTGCGGGCTGTGTCCTTGCAGCTGCCTCAGCTCCTGGTCCACCAAGCTCTTTATGTTGGCTCTATCCACCTGCCATTGCAGTGGCTTGGGAATGTACGCCAGCAGCTCTTCCCTAGGATGCACAGCCTGGGTCATTTGGGCCTGTGGCCATGGACCAGCTGGGGAAGGGTGGTGTGTGTGGTGCCACATAACTGAACTGGCACCTACTATGGATAAGGACTTGCTCAGGAGCAGGCTGGGGAGGGACAGAGAAGACAGGCATCGGCTAACCGAGGCCAGTCTGGTCAGGGCCAGGAAAGGTCAAGTGGAGTGTGGCCTTGGAGGAGGGAAGGTGGAAGGCAGAAGCCCTTAGGTTTGGGGGAGGGGCTGGCAAGAGAGGTTGAGCTGAGTTCACGCACTCTGATGGGGGACCTTTGCTGGCTTTCCTGAGGTGTTGGAGGGCCGCCAGCCGGGCAAGCTGGGCATCTGCCTGGGCACTGGCCATTAGCTTCCCCTGCAGGTAGTCCCGAAGCACCTGAGGAGAGTTGTGAGGGGCTGTTGTGTCATGACCTCCCCAACAGCTGGTGGCTTCTAGAGACTCGCCACCATCCCTGCCAGCTGCCACAGAGCGTCTCATGGTGCAGAGGGAGTCTAGAGGTTGCCTGGCTAGGAGCCCTCCCTTCTTAGCAGCGGCACTCACTGCACAGCGGCTTCTGGGCAGGGGCTGACCTGGCCATAGTGGGTTTCAGTGTAGGTGGGGTGGTCGAAGTGCAGCGGGGTCTCCCAGCCAAGCCGCCGGCTGTGCAGGCTCATGTCCTGGTCTGTCACCACACTGTTGAGGTACTCATTGGACGACAGTGGCCGAACTAGCTCACCTGCATAGGGGACCCATACCAGAATTGACCAGACTGCCCCAGCACAGAATGTACACTCCGGTGGAGGACACAGTGGGCCAGGCAGGTAAGGCTGCCCCTTTCCCTGGGCTCACCTTCCCCTTTGATGAGGAAAAGGGCAAATTCCTGCACTTCCTGCGAGTCTGTGATGCCCATCTGTCCACACAGCTCCTCCAGCACTTCTCCGGCCACCTGGGCACATGACAGGCCGTGAGATGGAGCCTCGAGTCCCAGAGCATGGGCTCGTAGCCTCTTCCCATGGCAGCCCCTGCTCACCGTGAATGTCTGGATATTGGTACTATAGTCCACACCCCCAGGCAGATGAATTAGAAGCAGACGAACTGCTTGTCCTTTCTGTCGGGAAGTCGTAGGGTTAGTCTCCAGTAATCAGAAGTCCCTGCTCTCCAGTTGACCACCCCCATTACAGGAAAGCCCTGAAAGGCGCGTGTACTCCAGATACCAGAAAAGCTTGCATTTCACCCGGTGGTGGCAGCTTCTGGCGCCCCCCATATTTAACTGTGCGCTGGAGGTTCTCCTGGCTGCTCCGGGCCAGCTCTGTAGGGAATCAGAATGATGGGTCACAGGTGTATCCAAGCCCCTTCACTGGCAGAGCATTCTCGGCCCTAGAAGTCCCTCTCCCCGACCCAGGCACCTTGGCTAGGGCTGGAATCCTGCAGGAACTTGGTCACGTAGGGCATCAGAGTGGTGGACGGTGAGAAGAAGCCTGTGAAGAGGCTGAGGATGCTCCAGCCCAGAGCACAGTGCTTTCTGCAGGGTAGAGCTGGGTTTCAGGCTGGCCAGGCCACAGTGCTGTTCCCACCCCAGTCCCCTGCCCCATAAGCCCCACTCACGGCTGGGGGTGTTTTGTGACTTGCTTGATGACCTGGCAGTACATCTCATCCCTGAGGTCTTGGCACAGCTGTGGGAACAGGAAGAGTGAGTGGGGACAGCGGGGACAGAACAGTAGAGCCAAGGAGTTGCTGTGAGCAATGGCTGGCTAGGGGCCTGACATTAGAAATACTGCTACTGGCCAGGCAGTGATGGCGCACACCTTTAGTCCCAGCACTCGGGAGGCAGAGACAGGCAGATCTCTGTGAGTTCAAGGCCAGCCTGGGCTACAGAGAAACCCTGTCTTAAAAAAAGTACGCGCACGCACGCGCGCGCGCGCGCGCACATACACACACTGCTACTGGTAGTTGGCTGAGAACTGGAAGTGATATCACAGCAGTCACCACACACACACACACACACACACACACACACACACACACTCTGCTACTGGTAGTTGGCTGAGAACTGGAAGTGATATCACAGCAGTCACCTCTGCCCCAGCAGCTGGCAGCCTTTGCCCAGCCCAACTGGTCACTTTTTTTTTTTTTTTTTTTTTAAATACCACATTGGAGATGGAACCCAAGGCTGGAGGGATGGCACAATGGTTAAGAGCACTGACTGCTGTTCCAGAGAACCCAGGTTCAATTCCCAGCATTCACATGACAGCTCACAACTGTCTGTAACTGCGAGATCTGACACCCTCGCACAGACATGTGCAGGCAAAACACCAATGCACATAAATAAAAATAAATAATTTAAAAAAGAAGAATGCTAGCCGGGCTGGAGAGAAGGCCAGCTGTTAGCTCTTGCTGCTCCTGCTCCCAATACCCGCATCCGGCGGACTAGAACTAGGACACAGCCACCTAGAACTCCAGTTCTGCAGCCACCCGCACGTGTGCGGACATACAAGTCATTCCGTCTAGGAACGCTAGGCAGGGAGCTGGTGAAATGGCAGGACCTTCCTGAGCAAGTCTGTCCCAGTATCCCGCGGTGGAAGGAGAACGCACCCCACGAAGCGGGTCTAAATTAAATTTACTGTGCTAAGCAAGCGCCTCCAGCACCGTGGGAAAAGACCTGCTGGCTGACTTCTAGCCTGCTCCTCTGAGCTTTGCTGACTTCCCGTCTCCTGGCTGCTTTTGGCCTCTCCACAGCCCCCCCATCTGGCTTGGTCCCTGACTCCAGCCTAGAGTGTCCCTAGACAGATCCTCTGCCAGTCCAGGCCTGCTCATTAAGGCCCGTCTCTGCTCTGGCTTCACCTCCACACAGCAAGCCCTGCGACACCACCCCCCTTCACCCCATCCCCCCACCCCTGCCCAACTCTGCCTCCTTGCTGCAGGCTCTGAGCCCATGCCAGCACCCTGTCTTGCCTGGTGTCACAGTAACTTCCTTCCTTTTGTCCCTAAGTCCCTAGAACATCAACAGCCAAAGTTACCCTGCGAAATGTGCACAGTGATTCCCATATCACTTGAAAATCAAAGCCCATCTAACAGCCTGACCCCATGCGCACATGGCTCATTCTTCTCCCTCAGAGCTCCGTCACCGTCAGCAGCCGCCACTCCTCTCTTGGTTTCCTGTGAGCCTGGACACTCAAGGACTTAGCCTCTTCACGTTGTAGGTGCCCAGTGCAGGCTGTGGGTGTTTAGAAGTAACTGGAGACAATGTAATTTTAAATGTATTTGTAGAGCTGGGAAGATGGCTGAGTGGGTAAAGGTGTTTGCCATGAAGCCTGATGACCGAAGTTCCATCCCCAAGACCCACAGAACAGAGAATCACCGCCTACAAATTACCTTCTGTTCTCCACAGGCATGCCACGGGGCGTGCGTGCGGGCGCACACTCTTGTGCAGGTGTACACTCTTGTGCAGGCATACACTCTTGTGCGGGCATACACTCTTGTGCGGGTGTACACTCTTGTGGGTATGAAATGTATAGGAGTAGAGTTGGCACAGATGGCAGCCATATGGAAGGCTTAGGTAGCGCTTAACCTGTGTTTCTAGAGAACTAGATGAATATCGGGCTTTATATGAACCTTAAGTTTCAAACATGCTACTAAAGAATACACCCCTCGGCTCTTAGGCAAGCATTTGTAGTTTGTATAATAGCAGAAGAGCCCAAGATGTAGTGCTGGGAGCTGTTTTGAGGATAAAGTATTTTTTGTTTTATTTATTTAGGTTTTCAAGGTAGGGTTTCTCTCTGTAGCCCTGGCTGTCCTGAAACTCCCTCTGTAGACCAGGCTGGCCTCGAACTCACAGAGATCTGCCTGCCTCTGCCTCCCGAGTGCTGAGGATTAAAGGCATGCACCACCACTGCCGGCCGAAGATAAAGTATTTGGAAACAGTTGAGAAACTGGGATGGGGCGAGTCCCTGAGGTCTTGGAGCACAGTTCTTGCTTACCTTTAGCAGCTCATAGAGCAGAGCCAGCTCATCCGTGCCCCGGGGCTTAGGCTGGTCCCCCATAAACTGCATCAGAGCTGCAGGCAGGATATGGAGCACAGTAAACAAGGCCTGATCTGACCTGTGCTGCCACTGTACAGGTCACCTGACATCTGACACCTCACTCTCCAAACAAACACACCAGGCAAGACAGTCATCTCTGACTTGGTTGAGGAGGAAATAGGCACAGGGAAAACCCAAGGGTGCCAATGTCAGCTGAACCATCAACTGCCCTGGATGTCACACAGCCCCTGGGCAGAAACACAAGTTGGTGGAGCAAGCTTCCTATACTGGCAGATGGGCTGATCCAGGGACAGCTCAAAGAGAAGGGAGTGAGGTGCCCAGGTCCAGAGCACTGCCAATGGGGACCAAGGTTGCCTGCAGCCACTCACCCTTAAAGCCAGCCACAGCCTTCCTGTTTGTGTCCTCATCGCTGAGGCAGATGAGGGATTCCTGGATGGGATCCTGTGGCCAAAGAGCCTTAGCTGTGAATCTAGGGCCTTGGGAGGCAGAAGGCAGATCCTTGGACCTACTGCTCCCGACCCCTTACCTTGGTGTACTGAATCAGGTTGGCTGCAACCTTCTCCTTGGCACCTCTACTTGCCTGGGTCAGCCTGTAGAGGGCAGAGGAAAAGACAGCCCTGCTTATTGGCCCTCCTGCCCTTGTCCCAGGCCACGAAGCCCACGGTAAAAGCAATGGCTTGGTGGCTCTGTGGTGCTTGGATTGGAGAAGACTGAGGACAGATAGGCATAGAGGTTCGTTCAGCGCACTCACAAGGTATGAGGCTTCCGGAAGTAGCGCAGGGCAAATTCCTGCATGGTGTAGTTGTGGGAGTCAGCAGACAAAGAGCTGTAGGCTGTGAAGGAGGTGGCCTCTGAGCCTTCGCTGGGTTCTTGGCTCCTGGGATGGGTGGGGCGCTGGGAGCACAGGAAATTTGGTACCACCCTAATGCCCACCACCTAGCCCAGAGGCCCTGTTCCCACTCTTACCGCCTGGTCCCCATACCCATTAGACCCAAGAGGAGTGACACCAGAAACCAGGAAAGCCATGATTATTTATTAAGCATCTTCTATGGAGGCATTGAACCAAGTACCACAGGTACTTAGTACTCATAGGGTGTGGCTTACAATCTTGGGGGTGACGTGGCAAGAGGTCGGGGATGGTAAAGGACAGAACACACTGAGCACTGCCCACCAGGCCACAGGAAGTAGGCGGCACCTGAGGCAACCCTGCTCCTTCCTTCCGAGTTAGTCCTTTATCACTTCACCTCTTGTGTCTTCCTCACCTCCTGAGCCGGCTCCTTGAGATGCTGTGGCTTACTCTTGCGCTGCCAGCTGTTTCTGTGTCCCAGGGAAAAGGAGAAGTCCGGAGCAGCAGCTGGCTGCACCATGTCAGCAGGAAAGAGTCCCGAGCGGCCCCCAGCAGAGCCAAACTGCCAGCCTAGAAAGCATTCCCACAGGATGGTTCACCTACCTCACCTCCCTGCCCAGGGGCGGCCTCCCCGCACCAGCCCTGGGGATTACCTGGCTCCAGAGTGACCGCTGGCTGTAGCTTAATGAGGTCCCCACGGTGGAAGCTGAGGAGACTGTGGTCGTCAGTGATGTAGCTGCGCAGGGCGATGACATAGCCAGAGTCCTGCAGGCAGGTGGGTGGTCTACTGCCTGCCTGGATGTCCCCCCACCCAGGACCCAGGAGTCCCAGGGACCTTGACTGAACTGCAGCCTCAGCCCAGGGAAGCCAGGCAGGGCACGATCGCCCACACTTGCCTTCTTGAGCTCCCTCAGGAACTGCTCCACCATGGCCTTGATGGCCCTGGCTTGGGCTGTGTGCAGTGTCAGCTGCTCATTCTTCAGTGACAGCTCCAGGATGGAGCTGCTCCTGCACTCCACACCCAGCACCTCAGCAAAGCTGTGTAGACACAGTCAGGGGATGAGCTCCAGGCCATCTTGCCACCCCGCTCCAGACTCTGGGCCAGCTCACCTATAGGAACAAAGTGTCTTCAGCCGGTCCAGGTGGAAGCTGGAGTCTTGGGTCACCTTCAGCAGTCTCAGTCCCCGGTGAGAGACACCCAGCAGCTGCACATCACTGCCACTCTCGCCCTGTCAGGAAGGAAGGAGTGTCGGCCATTCCTGGTACCGCCCGGATGCCTGGAGCCCTTGAGTACAGAGTTCCAGAGCTGTGTCCCGCTCACTAAGTCCAACATCACTGACCGAGACTGGGAAGATGCGCGAGAAGTAATTGGCCCAGTTGTCTCGAGCAGCCACCACGATGCGCTTTCTGATACTTTCTTCAACAGTCTCAAGGGAGTCCAGGCCCACCTCCAAGTCTCCTGTGGGCAAGGGGGGGGTCCATGATATCCTTGTTCCCGTGACACTTCCCCTCGGGGCACGTCCAGCCCCACACCCCAGCTCCCAGGACCCATTACCCAGCAGGTCTTTCATCCTGTGCCGCTCCTCCTGGGAGATCCTGATGCAGGACTCTGCGAAGGTGTCCCGCAGGATCTGGAGGCGGAGCAAGGTGGTCAGCACCACGTCCTGAGACCAGAGCTCACCCTCAGCCGATATGGGTGTGTAATGGAGGAAAGGAAGAGGACGGGGTGGGGCCTACATTCCAGCAGTGCTGGCTGGCTCCTGCTAGAGCTGGGCCGGGGATGACAGAAGGCTCCCAAATCCCAGGATCATGTCCAGACCTACAGCTCTCCCCTCCCCATCCCGCATCCACTGCACTCCTTCCTTCGGCGCCATGGTCTGCTGCTGCTGACATAGTGTAGCGGCTGACGCCCTGACGAAAGTGACCAGGTGACCACCACCATTTACGAAGCACCTAGTGTGTGCTCGAGCCTGCGCCGGGCACGATTTACTTGGACTCTCATTTGACCACTGTCCCGATTTTGTAAGGACACTAAGGCAGGGCTCTCCATGCAGAAAATGCCCTCTGGGTGCCAGCTGTTAACAGTGAGGGTCCTGAGATGTGGTCTGCCTGTGGGTGTGGCAGGTTGGTGGGTGGGCCAGGCTCTCACCTGCTGGCAGAGAAGGCTGAGACAATAGGGGTGGCTGAAGTTCTCGCGGGGGTAGAACACCTAAAAGCAGGGTGAAGAGTGAGGTCGGCCATGCCAGGCTGTGGTCGGGCCAGCCGACCTCTGCCCTCCCAGGCCCAACCCAGAAAATCAACCTTGAAAAAGTGGTTCATGGGGAAGGGGGTGTGCTGGGGTTTCAGGCGAGGATCTCATACAGCCTGCCATTGCCCTGCCAGCCCCAAGAGGCTGAGGCCCCACCCCCATGCCCACCTCCTTGCGTAGGAACAACTTCCAGGATGCACCGGTGTAGGAGAAGCACACGCTGCCCGAGGGCACAAGGAGCTGAGTGGAGATGCCCTGGTCCTTCATGGGCTCTGTCAAGGCTAGCAGAGAGAGGAGACCTGGACCTAGGTTGCCAGAGACCCTCATGTTCCTGTTTTTCCCAGTCTCCAGACACTTCAGACTGCTACTCCTACCACCAACTCCTGCCTTCATTTCGGGCCCTGAGTTTTTCCTAGTGTCCCTGGCCACTAAGTCCCCACCACCACCACCAAAACAAAACAAAAACAAAACAAAACAAAAAACCACCTGTCAGGTCTTCATCAAGGACAACAACATGCAGAGGTCAGTCCCTTAGTGCCAGACAGGCCTCAAGGTGCCTCAGCCCTGCCCTGGATAGGAATGAGGAATCCAGAGCTCCAGAGCTCCAAAGTCCAGATGCCCAAACAGCTGGCCTCAGCCAAACAGGGAAGACTTTTGCCATAGATCCCAAGAGGCTGTCATGAGTCCCGCCACCAACCTAGAGACTCAACACAGGAAACATGGATTGCTCACCACGAGACTCCACTGGAAGGGTCTTGGGCTCCTCAGGCAGAGGCAATGGAAGGGCTGGTGGAGGCGGAGGTGGGGGTGCCGGAGTTGTGGGCGGGCTTGGGCTACATGGGCCAAACAAGTCCCGAAGGGGCCCCTGCTTTTCCTGGATGGATAAGGAGGGCTCGAGCCGTGGTCGAGCCTTGGGTTTGGGGGCCACTTCTGGGGGAGAGCTCTTCTCTAGGTTAGGAGACACCGTCTGCAAGAGAAGACACAGGGCTATGGTCAAGGCCAAGTTACCCTGGAAACCCCAAGTTTAGCTCAGGATTCCTGAACAGATCACAGCCCACGCCCTGCAGAGAATGGCAGGGGAGCTCACCGATGGAGGCGAGTGGGCACCATTTATTCCTAACTTGGCCAAAGCCTCATCCTTAGGGTCATTTTTCTTCTGAAAAGTTTTGACAGGCCTTATGGAAGAGAGAGAGAGTTATTTCTGCATGGTGTGATTCCCTGAGGAGAGAAACAGCCCTGGCCACATAACCCCTGGGATCCACCTGGTGGGTTGAACAGGCACAGGCACAGGGCCCGGACGGCTCTGGTACATTCGGATGATGTTACGGATCTCCCTGCTGGGTTGCGGGCGCTGAGGTGTGGAGTTGGAGCTCTGTACTGTGGGTGCCCTGCTGGGTTGTGGGCGCTGAGGTGTGGAGTTGGAACTCTGCATTGTGGGCTCCCTGCCCTGGGCCGGCACTTCATCCTCTTCTGGTTCCGCCTCACCCTCCTTCACAGCTTTGGCCCTACTTGGTTTCAATGGCTTCTTCACAACTGGGGGAGGATGAGGAGGGGGCAGCTCTGCCAGGAAGAGTGAAGAGAATTGAACAATGTACCTACCGCAGGAGCCGCAGGAGCCGCAGGAGCCGCAGGAGCCGCAGCCTACCACACCTACCTGCCCTTGTTTCCTCCTCCTCCTCCTCCTCTGTCTCCTCCTGGGGGATCTGAACCTTGGCCGGAGGCTTCACTGTCTTCATCTTAATGGGCTCTTGCCCTGTAAATGCCACAGACGGCCTTCTCTGTCACCTGTCAGAGCACTAAAGGGGCCTATTGATCTGGGCTCCTGGACAGGCCTTGCTGGCAGGGGAGCAAAGTGTGGCCTCCCCTCCCCAGGCTACAGGCATCGCGTGGCTGCCACCCCCCTGAGCACCCTCACCCATCTTCTGGAAATAGTCCCGTTTCTGTTGGAAGCTCCTGGGGCGCTGGGGCCTAACTTCAGCCTCCTCTGGAGTGTCCTCCTGGCAGAAGAAGAAATAAAGAGTAGCTCCCAGCCAGCCATGGCCCCATCCTCTCAACATCCCTTTCTGATGGCTTCTTGGACCAATCCTGCCTACCTTCCCAGGGTCTCATCTAGGTAGGTCTAGCACCTACCTACCTGCCACCAGACCAGACCAGACCCAGAGAACTCTGCCTAGCCTTGGCTCCTTACTCTAAAGCAAACATCCGAAGGTTCTAGGTCACTCTCTGGCTTCTCTTGGGGGGTGGGCAGCTTCTTGAGCTTGGGAGCCGTGGCTGAGGGTGGAGCCTGGGTGGCAGGCCCAGAGGCCTGAGCTTGGTGCTGACGCCTCTGATTCTGCTGCTCCAGAGACAAGCTCATGGCCTGGGTGGTCATCTGCTGGGCCTGAGGAAAAGGAGAGGCAAGCCAGCAAGAGCTTGGCTGGCCCTGCCCCCGTGCCCACACTCCCCGCAGCCCCGTGGCCCGGCCACAGCTCTTACCAGGATTATCGCCTGCTGGTTGATGAAGTTCTGCTGCTGTAACGCTAGCTGCCTTGAATCCAAACTGGGAAGCAGAGGCTGTGGCTGTGGTGGGACCATCATGGCTGTGAAGAGCAGATGTCCAGAGCAGGTTAAGTGCCATGGTCAGATTTGAATCTCTTGATCCCAGGTGCCCTCGGGACTCCCGGCAGGACCCTCCCCCCCACCTTTAGCCCTGAAAGCTTCTCCTGGTGCCCTTAACCCAGCCTCACCCGGGATGGTTGGGACTGTGCCCACTGCTGGCATCATGGGCACAGGTGCAGGAATCATAGCTGGCTGGTAGCCGGGTGCCTGCACCATGCCTGGATACACTAAGGGAAGAGGGTCTCTCAGTTCATTCCTACTTGGCTCCACATCCCTTCTCCCTCCAGCCCCAGGCAGGCAAAGAGAAAAGCATTGACCTCTGGGGTACTGGCCAGAGCTCCCATCTCAGTCGCCTGAGGAGATTCAGACCACCCCTGCTGTTGGGCCTGGGAAGCCCCAGAGAGACACCATCTCTACTCACCCATGGGGTAGCCCTGCTGGGTGGGCCCAATGGAGCCCCCTCCCTTCATGCGGCTACTCAGGGCCCAGCCTTGTTCCAGATCCTGAAGGGGCAAATGTTAAGTGTCAGAGCTAGAGCCTGGGAGAAACAGAAGGGTTGGCTGCCCCCCATTACCACAGGAAAGGGAGGGCAGGCCACTCACACTGACGCCCGGGGAGAGGACCGGCTCAAAGAGGTGGTCCAGGAAACCATCCAGGTTTCCCGGCTTCCTGGCCTCACCTGTTGGGAAAATACACTTTGCTACATCTACCTCTCAGCCCATTCCCAGCACTGGGCCGATCTCAGTGTGCCTTACCTGGGGGGCCGCGGCCAGGCAGTACTGGGGCTGGACCTGGAGGGAGTCCCGGAGGCAGGGAGGGAGCCTGAACACCAGGGGCTGGAGGGATGTTCTCAGCTCTGCAGGAAACAGTGGGCCTAGTTAAGGAGACTACTGTGGGGGGTCACCTCTAGAGGGGTGCAGAAGTTTAGGGGAAAGGACTGGGTTGTCAACACCATCTATGCACCACACAATGGCGGGGTGGCCCTGGCGGTTACCAGCTGGGGAAAAGGCAGGTGGGCGGTACCTACAAACCAAAAGGAGTGATGGGGTAGCTGTGGGGACCAGCTGGGTCTCCCAAGTCCTCAATCCGGCCAATCAGGTCCAACACAAAGTCACAGCCAGCCAAATCCTGCCAAGCGTCCCCAGAATGCAGTGACACTGACCAGCCACGAGGGGGCACCTCCAGGCCTCTGGGTGGGACAAGAGTGAGCCGCAGAGGTGATCAGAGACAAGGGATAGGCAGATGACATCCTTCAGGAGCTGAGGTCAGTCGAGGGCGAGGGTCTGAGAAGGGAGCCCTTTCTGAGGACGTCCCCACCACCCCAGGTGTGAGCCAGGTGCTCAGCCTCACTTGGAAGCCTCAGACTGAATTCCTCAACGTCCTTCTGGTTATCTCCAGGCTCTGATGCTCTCACTTGCTCGCCTGGTTATCTCCAGGCTCTAATGCTCTCACTTGCTCGCCTGGTTATCTCCAGGCTCTAATGCTCTCACTTGCTCGCCTATGGAAGTAGGACCTGGGCCTTATGCTGTCACATGGCCCCCTCCTCATTGAGAATCTCTGTTCTCTCTCTCGCTGGAAGCTACAGTTGGAGCCTGCCCATTTACCTAAAACCTTTCCTTTCTATTCATTGAGAAACAGCGTTCTTCAGGGCCCTGGGGGACCATGCAGTAGGGGAGCTGGCTGGGAGGATGAGGACGGGGACCACAGTCAGTGGTCAGCACCAGCTGTACTGTCCCATCCTGGGCTCCCCATACCTGCTCTGCAGGATCCACCCTGCAAACTGCTCTCCCGTGGTCCAGGACTCCACCTCTGCCGAGTAGCTTTCCTCTGTAGGGGGTTGATGGGAAGGTGAGGGACAGAGGGCTCCATCCACCCTGACAGTCAGTGGCTACTGTCCCCACACCAGACAGGGCAAGGAGACAGGGCCACAGGGCAGGAGGAGGCCTGGAAGAGCGGAGGGCAGGGCTGGCATCGCTGACGGAGGGAGGCAGACCTCACCATTGAATGTGAAAACATCCAGCGCCATGCGTCCCCGCCGCAATCCAGCCTTCCACTCAAGCTGGGTCGGGGGGTGGGCCCTTGAGGCCATGGGAGCCAGAGGTGTCTGCTCCAGGGCACCCAACAGCTTGTGCTGGCACAAGGCTGCCATGCCCCGGGGGGCCTGGTCGGATACAAATCTGTGGAGACGGCACAGGGTTGCTGCAAGCTTTGGGGGCTGTGTGGATCCCGCTCACAGAGCCCCATAAACTGGACTCCTTACTTGAGCAATGGCTTCTGCAGGGCAGGCGTAGGGGAGAAGGAGCTGAGCAAGACCGCCATCAGGGCCCAGCCACGCTGGCTCTGCTGCTCATCTGGGTTTTGCCACAGCTGGGCCACTAACTGGCTGAAGAGCTCGTCCCGAAGTCCCGGCCGGTGCTGTGCCTTCCGAATCAGGAACGTGCCCATGGTCTGTTCCTGCCAGGGCGGCAGGAATCCCTCCCCCAGAAGCCGCAGCATCTGTTGACAGAAAAGCAAGGTCAGGGCGGGAAGCACAGGGAGGGCTCCCCTGCACCTTTCCAGTCCTTACAGTGACCACTCTGTCCATTCCCAATGCGTCACTCACCACCCTGTTGATCTCCAGAGCCTGCTGAGGATTCTCGCCATCCATCCGGGTCAGGGGCTCATCCAGCAGCTGCCCTGGTCTAGGCAGATATGGCTTCTGGAGGGGAAGGAGGGTGACATAGTGTTTGTCCTCCGAGTTCACCAGAGAAGGCACTCCTTGAGGAGTCCCCCAGGAGCACATACCCTGGGAAGAGGAGAGACACGCGAGTGCGTGCGTGCGTGCGTTACAGACATGCATGTGCAGGAGTGTGCCAGAGGAGAATGTCAGACATCTTCCTTGTTTGCCTTGAGATGGGGTCTGTCACTGAACTGAAAAGCTTGCCATTTTGCATAGACTGCCTTGCCCAGCGAATTCCGGGGATCCACCTGCATCTTTGCCCCCCCCACCCCCCAATGCTGGGGTTACAGGTATGTGTGGTCATGCCTGGCTTTTTTACATGTGTGCTGTGGATTTTAATTCAGGTCCTCATGAAGCACTACTACCCACTGAGAATTTCCCAGTCCTTCAATTGTTCTTTAATTAAAAAATTGGCACTGGGCACACGCCTTTAATCCCAGCACTCAAGAGGCAGAGAGGCAGGTGGATCTCTGTGAGTTCCAGGCCAGCCTAGTCTACAAAGTGAGTTCCAGGACAGGCTCCAAGGCTACACAGAGAAAATCCTGTCTAAAAAAAAAAAAATTGACATCAAGCTGGTGTAGTGTCTACGCCTTTAATCCCGACACTTGGGAGGCAGAGGAAAGCTGATCTCTGTAAGAAGTTCCAGCCCAGCCAGAGCTACCAGAGTAAGACCCCGCCTTTAGCATTTTTATGAAAATAGGGATGGCCATGGTAACATACACCTTTAATCCCGGCACTCTTAAGGCAGAGACTGGTGGATCTCTGAGTTCAGGGCTAGCCTGATCTACATAGTTCCAGACGAGGATACATAATGAGACCCTGTCTCAAAAAAAAAATCACAATTAAACTAATCCAGAGCTCTTCTGGTATGTGAAGCTGTGAATCCTGCTTTTGTATTTAAGCCTCTGGCCTGGGAAGTTTCCCTCATCAAACATTCTTTAAGGACACAACTTCAATGCAAGACAATACCACAGGTACAGGAAAGGTGTGGCCGAAACCAGTCTGTGTGGCGGAGACTCTGTAACAACTGTGTAAGGACTGTGTTGTTTTCAGGCCGCTCTGATGACCACGGTGGAGGGCAGGGAGGAGGTGGAGGCCCGGCCCTGCCTGGCAGCGCTTACATTGGAGCTTCCGGCGTGCAGGAAGCACTTGAGGAGCCTCACCTGAAAGTTGGAGGACACGAAGCTGGAGAATGGAAACTGGTCAATGTCCGGAGGGAGGGTCAGGCTGGGCCGGACAGGAATCTCAGGTGGCAGGGACTCTGTGATGCTCCCAGGCAGGGCAGCCTGGTGGTCTGGGAAGAGAGAAACACAAGAGGCAGCCTAGGATACTCAGAGTCTCATTTTCTCTGTCAAGCTGCCAACCACCATGGACAGAGTGACCACGGGTGGCTCAGAGAAAGGAAGATCTGGACAAGAGAAGCCCCCGAGTAAGGGACTCAGAGTGGACGTTCAGATGACTCACCTTCAGCTGTCTCCAGCAGGGCAGCCAGCTGGGCTGGGATCTCCAAGCGCCCCAGGTCCTGGTGGAGACAACCAAATTATCAGGAACTAAAGGATAGCTGAGAAGAACTGGGTGCCCCCCCCCCCCCGCCCCATCCAAATCTCCCCTTAAAGATCCAGGACACACCCTGAAAACAAACGATCAGGTCCCTACTCGCCTCTAAGTAAAATCAAGAGAACCCCAGACTTCTGCTCAGGTGGCACCCTGGGTACCATACCCCCCCCCCCCCCCCGCTATGCCAGGCTCAGGGGTTCACACTCCACACAGGACCTCTGCTTCCAGACCACTCACCATACTTGACAGTTTTCCCCCGGCCTCCCCGCTGTGCGGGCCACGGGAATGCCCAAGCTGTGGGAGAAAGCCAGCAAGAGCTGATGAGCCTACACCACCACCAGCCCATCCCCAACTCAGCAGCTCAGCGATCTCCTGTCCCCAGGAGCCCCCCGATGGTAGCAAAGGAACGTCAATGTCACAGACCCACAGGGCTCAACTGCCTGACTTCACCCACCTCTCTCTACCCCTCTCCAAGCTCTCACCGTCGCCAAGCTGTGGACGTCACTGCTTGTCTGCTAGGGCACCGGGAAGAGGTAAGGAAGAAGAGAATAAATGGTCCCAGGGGACAAAGTCCAGCTAGGGAGGAGCCAGGGAGGGGGGGCAGAATGTGGGCATTGACCTTTGAGCAGCTTTATGGCTCTCACATTGGTGTCATCAGGAGAAAGGGAGAACAGAAGAGGCCCCGAGACTCTGGAGGGAAGAGTGGGGACCTAGGTGGAAAGGGGGAGCCAGGCCTGGGGGTACAGGGGTGGCAAGATGAAGACAAGAGCCACCAGGGCCCCAGCCTGTCCCAGCACAGGACAGGAAATGGAGGCGGTCAGCAAGCAGTTGGCTCTGATGTTTCAGTCCTGGCAAATTTAGGCTGTCAGGATTCTTCCCTCTTGGCCAGTCAAGGCCACCCGGCTTCCATCCTGAGCTTTCCCACAATCCAGGAGGACCCCCCCACCCAGCCTTCTTACTTGAAGCCTCTGTCTTCTCTGGAGCAGGGGCCGAGCTACAAGGAGGATAGTGTTCAGCTGTCCCAGAGCTGACCTCCTCCGGAGGTATCGCTTCCTGGAGGCCATGGAAGGGAGAGGGCGAGGACTCAGAACTTATTACTTCTTCCCTGGTACCCAAACCCTCTAAGCCTAGACATTAATATAAAATGGACTCTGGCTCAGCGGAGACCCCTGATGTTTAACAGGAAAGAACAGAACACTATGGCAAACCAGGTAATGTTTTGAGACTGTTTTCACTATGTAGACCAGACTGGCCTTGAACTTAGATCTACCTACTTCTATCCTTTAGGTGCTGTGATTACAGGCACCTGCCACCACTTCTAGCTTTTAGGATTTTTGTTTTTAATTATGCATATGTGTGTGTGACTACATGTGAGTATGTGCATGTGAGTGCATGGGTCATAGGTGGCCAGAAGATGCCCTGGGAGTTGTGAGTCACCCTATGTAGGTGATGGGAACTGGACTCTGGTCCTCTGTAGGAGCAACACATGCTCTCAACCACTGAGCCATGTCTCCAGCCCCCTAGATTTATTTTTAAATTTGTCCTGTTCAGGAGCCTTCTTTGAGAAGCCTGGTCTTCTCATAGCTGGGAAATTCTCAAAGATATTCTATTTGCAAGTTCCTTTTCCTGACCTCCAGGGGCACCAGCACAAATATATACATGTACACAAAGCACTCATACACATACAGTAATTAAATAAAACTAAGTCTAGGGGTCAAGGAGATGCCTTGGTTGTATAAACATGAGGAGCCAAGTTCCAGTCCTCAGCATCCACACGTATAAAAGCCAGATAAGACCGGGCAATGGTGGCGCACACCTTTAATCCCAGCACTCGGGAGGCAGAGGCAGGCGGATCTCTGTGAGTTGGAGGCCAGCCTGGTCTACAAAGTGAGTTCCAGGAAAGGCGCAAAGATACACAGAGAAACCCTGTCTCGAAAAAGAAAAAAAAAAAAAAAAAAAAAAAAAAAACAACGCCAGCTAAGGCAGCACATGTCTAACTCCAGTGCTGAGGAGGTAGAGGCAGATGGATGCTTGGAGCTCACTGGCTGCCCAGACCAGCTGAACCAGTGAGTTCCAGGTTCAGTCAGAGAGAGAGAGAGAGAACGCTAGATGCCCAGTCATACCTTTAATCCTAGCACTGGGGAGGCAGAGGCAGGAGGATCTCCATGAGTTCAAGGCTAACATAGTGTACAAAGTGAGTTTATGGGCAGCCAGGGCTACATAGAGAGACCCTGTCTCAAATAAATAAAAAGAAGGTTGAGCTAGGTGGAGGCGCACACCTTTAATCCCAGCAGTTAGGAGGCAGAGGCAGGTGGATCTCTGTGAGCTGAAAACCAGCCTGGGCTACAAAGCAAACAGACCAGGACAGACAAAGCTACGTAAAGAAAACATGTCTCAAACTCCCCATCCTCCCCCAAGAAAGTTTGAGAACAAATGACTGGGAAAGAGACTCAATATCCATCTCTGACCTCCACACGCATGTATACACACGGGTATCCATACCAGCAGGCCGGTTTCCACATGCACATATGCACGCATACATGAACGTGTACACACATAGACCACGCACGTGCACACACATCTACAGGATTGGAAGGGAAGAGCCGCTCACTTGCAGAGTACTTCCTTAGCATGTTCAAATCCCTGGGTTTGATCCCCAGCACAAAAATTCAATCCATGGATCAATCAATCCGGCAATCAATCCACAACTTTCATGCATCGGAGGACAGTACAAAGATAAAAAGACAAAGTACAGAATAAAAAGCCATCAAATCACACTTAGCGGTGGACCAACTCCCAGACAATATGGAGAACTCTTGTGGCTTACCAGCAGAGACTGGGGAGAGGTGAGAGGTGGCTCAAGGGTTAAGACCACCTGTGTTTGCAGAGGACTGGGGTTCAGTTCCCAGCAACTGGGGTTCAGTTCAGAACCCACATAATGGTTCACAACTATCCATAACTCTGGAACCAGGGGAACCAGTGCCCTCTTTTGAGCTCTGTGGGCATCAGGCACACACACAGTGCATGTGCATACATTCAGGCAACACTCGTACACATATAATAATAACCAGTGAGAAAGCTGGGTGTGGTGGTGGATGTCCATAATTCCAGTGCTCAGGAAGCTGAGACAGGAGGATAGCTGTAAGTCCATGGCCAGCCTGAGCTACACAGTAAGACCCTGTCTCACAACCACCCAAACAAGAGCCTAGAGAATACTTGCTGCTCTTGCAGAGGACCCAGCACCCACGTGGTTACAGATGGCGGCTCACAACCGTCTGTAACTCCAGTTCCAGAGGATCTGATGCCCTCTTCTGACCTCTGAGGACACTGCATGCACGTGGTAAACAAACACCTAGGGAAACACCATAACACATAGAATAAGATACATTTTTTCAAAATGCCAATGACCCAGAAACAATAGTGAGTAGACTAGAATAGACATCTTCACAAATGGGTGGGAAGCTCAGGAAACTATGCTCAGCATCAATAGTCACTAGAGAAATCAAGTCAAAAACAACATGAAGCTGGGCGGTGGTGGCACACGCCTTTAATCCCAGCACTAGGGAGGCAGAGCCAGGCGGATCTCTGTGAGTTTGAGGCCAGCCTGGGCTACAGAGTGAGTTCCAGGACAGGCACCAAAACTACACAGAGAAACCCTGTCTCAAAAATAAAAAAAAAATAGCCTTCATTTATTAATGTCCTGCTTGGTAAATATTGAAGAAAAAAAGAAGAAATGAAGTTCTGACCCATGCTGCGACATAGAGTCTGAAAGCATTGAAAGCTAAGTAAATTAGGCCAGGCATAAAAGGAACTGGAATACAACACGGCTTACAGGAAATACTCAGAATAGGCAAATCTAGAGACAGGAAACACACTGGAAGTCATTAGACGTGGGCGGTGTGGGGAGCAGGGAGTTACCGCTTCACGGGCACCGTGCCTCAGTTTATGTGGTGAATGAGTTAAGGCACAGACGGTAGCAATGACTGCCCGCGGCGGTGGCCCTCCCCCACGGCACTGTCAGTCAGTGGCTGCTTTACTGTCCAAATCCGACCCCTCCCTGCGGCTAGTCCAGGAGGCCTCACCTCTGCGGCCTTCGTCCCTGCGCTCCAGCATCTGGCCAGGGTGGGCAGAGCAGCTGCTGGATGAATAAGATAGAACGCCAGCTCCGGTGGTGGGTGACTATGACCCACATCCAGAAGGCTGAGTGAGGCAGGGGGCCATGAGTTTGAAGTCAGCCTGAGCTACAGAGCAATCCTGTGTTTCACAAGGAAACAGCCCAGTGGAGAACAGACTAGGAAAGACAGGAGCCGAGTCATCGGAGTCCAGGGGCCCAGCAGCAATGACCTTTACTCTGGGGAGGTATTCAAGCAGGCTCCCCGGTTGCTGTCAGAGTCCATGACCTTGGGACAGGTCAACTTGCCCCCAAGACACCACATGACCGTAACTCTGCCCACACCTTGAGTGTCGGGAGCCATGTGAAAGGAACAGCCAGCAGCTTTGGAACTCATGGAATACGGCTCAGCGGTCAGCATTAACATGCTGGGTGAGCCTCGGAGGGCAGAGCCCCGAGGACTACGTGTCCTGAGGACCTCCTGCTGTTACTGAGCATAGCTCTGCTTACTGCCCTCTCGGTCACCACATCCCTCATGATCCAAGTTGTATGAAAACTCTCAGGGGGCTTCTAGCCCCTCACTGGCAGTGTTACTGGTACTTACAACAATAGTGACTTTTTCTAAGCATTACTGCTGGAGTAGAATAATGATTCAACCACCACCCTTAGAAAGAATTTAGACATGTAGATTGTTAGTAAAGATAGGTTAAGATGTTTTTGTTAATGGCTTAGAGGTAGAAAATCTTGGGGAACAATTTAAAGTTTGGGAAGGCACACTTGATAGTTGGGCAAAGGACGCGTTGAGGTCAGAGAACAAGAACAATGGCAGTCTGGTTGTGACTAGATGACGTGCCTTTCTTGCTAGGATGGGTTGGTGATCAAAAGCAAGGATGAATTCCTTGTGCCCATTTTTGCCCTCAGCTTCCTGAGATGATTAAATTAAAAAAATTGATGATGAGTGGGTATATACTCTGAGGACTTAAAGTAGAAATGACTGGTTGTTTCACGTATATAAAAGTTGGGATTGTGATTCTTTAAAAAAATTTTTTTTTTATAAATGAGCCAGGTGGTAGTGACAAATGCCTTTAATCCCAGCACTCAGGAAGCAAAGGCAGGTAGATCTCTGAGTTTGAGTCCAGCCTGGTCTACAGAGGGAGTTCCAGGACAACTAGGGCTACATAGAGAAACCCCATCTTGAAAAGTAATAATAGCCGAGCCGTGGTGGTGCACGCCTTTAATCCCAACACTGGGGAAGCAGAGGCAGGCGGATCTGAGTTCGAGGCCAGCCTAGGCTACAGAGTGAGTTCCGGGAAAGGCACAAAGCTACACCTGTCTTGAAAAAAACCAAAAACTAAATAAATAAGTAAAAAATAAATAAAATAATTGAGCCTTTCTTTGAACCACAAAATGCAGCCTGCCAGTGAAAGAACTGCCTGAGAAAAATACCTTGCTTATGCTTTGTTGATTTATAATAAGTTGCTTAGACATGAATGTATGTGGGTCCTTGGGAATAATTTGTTTTTCTTTCCTAAAATTTAAAATGTTTAATCATGTAAGGGTAGTGGAGAACATGATGTGTTTCACTTGTATTCATTGTAATCATTCACTTGGAAAATGGAATATACCCACATTGTAAATTTTATGCTGCTTGAAAAATTTTGCTGGGGTTATATAAGCTGTAAGGGAAAAATAGGAAAGATGTAAAAGGAAAAAAGGTCAAGGAAGATACGCTGTGAAATAATCCTCTTGTACACTGTCAAGATTTGTCACTCGAATTGGTTTAATAAAACAGATTGGCCAGTAGCCAGGCAGGGAGTATAGGTGGGGTGACCAAACTAAGAATGCTGGGAAGAGGAGGGAGGAGTCAGGGAGGTGCCAGCCAGACACAGAGGAAACAAGATGAGAATGTCATACTGAGAAAAGGTGCCAAGCCATATGTCTAAACATAGATAAGAATTATGGGTTGCTTTAAGTGTAAGAGCTAGTTAGCAATAAGCCTGAGCTACCAGCCGAGCATTTATAGTTTATATCAAGCCTCTGAGTGATTATTTGGGAACTGGTGGGCTGGAGAAAACTGTGCATTTACAAAGATACAGAAGGAAAACATCAGGAAAGAGGTAAGGGAAAAAATACAGAAGAGAGACCCTGACATGTCCAAGGTGTGTGTGTGTATGTGTGTATGTAGTGTTCCCCCTTTTCACCAGCCCCAGAGAACTGTTTTGTTCCCTCAGAGAAAAAAGTAACTTGTGTGATCAGTGGCCGACTCCGCGCCTCCTCTTCAGTTCCTGACCTGCGGAGAGCTCGCCTTTCAGCAGCGCTTGAGGAGCTGCCCCACCACCTCAAGCTCCCACTTTGGTCCTTGGCTCCAGTGTCTGCTCACCTGGCCTGGAGTCCGCGCACACGAGCCTGCATCCGGGGCAGGAGGCGGAGGCGCTGGCGGGTGATGCAGGCTCGGAGGCCGCGGTGCAGCGTGAGCAGGGCCTGTGAGCGCCGCTGAGCCCACAGCTGCTCTAACTGCTGCCAGCCCTGCTCCTGCAGCAGGACCTGTGAGCGGAGACATGCTTCATGGAGATGGGGTGGGAGGATGGGGGAACAGGCGCATGCATACCTCCTCTTCTCCCCTGGCCTCAGACTCTCCACACCTGGTCATGCAATCTATCCAGGGTAGCCTTCCAGCCAGCCCCACTCTACCTGCCCATCCCTGAGAAGGACCACCCAGTGCATGGCTTGTCGTGTTTAATCCAGCAGGGGTCTTTCCTTTTCAAGCACGTCTACCCACTCTCTTGTACTCACACATACACCCACCTGGGTGGTTCCAAGATGATAGACTGGTGACTCCGCCCCCAGCACTTGGCTGAGGATGGTACCACACCTCTCCTGGTCAGAGAGAGCTTCCTGTCTCCCTGACCCCAGGGCCCGGAACCTGTCGCAAGGGTACAGAGATGAGGCTGGAAGAGCAAGGGCCGTTTCAGACCTTGATTGACAGCTGAACCCCTTGATAATTACTCAGTTTTTGGATCAATCAACAACTTGGGAAACCCCGGGTTCTAGTCTCTGTTGCTATGGACGAAATCCTGGACAGGAGACAACTTCTGAAAGAAGGGATTTCATTGGTTTACAGTTCTGGGGTGCAATCCACTGGTGCAGGGAGTCAAGGCAGGACTTTGAAGCATCTAATCTCATCATACCACAGTCAAGAGCAGAGAGCAGTGAACACTTGGACTCAGGTCGCATTCTTTTTTTTTTTTTTTTTTTTTTTTTGGTTTTTCAAGATAGGGTTTCTCTCTGTAGCTTTGGTGCCTGTCCTGGTTCTCGCTCTGTAGACCAGGCTGGCCTCGAACTCACAGAGATCCACCTGCCTCTGCCTCCTGGGTGCTGGGATTAAAGGCGTGCGCCGCCACCTCCTGGTGCATTCTCCTCTCTTGTACAGTTCAGGACTCCCTGCCTAGGGAATGGTGCCATTACAGTGGGTTAGGTCCTCCCACATCAATTAACTCTCAAGACAGCCTTCCACAGAGACAGCCCTACAGGCCAGTGCCACCTGGACAGTTTCTCATTAAGATTACCTTCCAGGGGTTGGAGAGATGGCCCAGTGGTTAGGAGTACTGAACACCCTTCCAGAGGACCGGAGTTCAATTCCCAGCAACCACATGGCAGCTAACAATGGTTTGTAACTCCAAGATTTGACACCCTCACACAGTCATACACATAGGCAAACACCAATGCAAATAAAGTAAAAATAATTAAAAAAAAAAAAAAAGACTATCTTCCGGTGGTGGTGGTACACACCTTTAATCCCAGCACTCAGGAGGCAGAGACAGGTGGATCTCTGAGTTTGAGGCCAGCCTGGTCTACAGAGCGAGTTCCAGGACATCCAGCGCTACATAGAGAAACCCTAGACTATCTTCCAGAGCCGGAAAGACGGCTCCATGGTTAGGAACACTTGCTGCTCTTGCAGAGGACCCAGGTTCAGTTCCCAGCACCCATGACAGCCAGCTTACACTTGCCAATAACTCCAGTTCCAGGCAATCCGACCCGGCCTGTGCAAGTACCCGCAGGCACATGCGCACACACACAAAACAAATCTAACAAGGCACTAAAACAAAACCACCACCCACAGCTCTTTCCCATGAGTCTAGGTTGTGTAAACCTCACAGTAAAAATAACCAGTACACTCCGCCAGGGCCAGGCAATGTGCCGACTCCAGGCAGAGCGCTGGGAGGTGAGACCTCTGCTCCGGAGAACGGGCAGGTTGTCAAAAAGAAGAGATGATGCTGTGAGTCCAGACAAGGCCAGAGGAGCAACCCTGGGCTTCTGTCTCCCCGGGGTGCCTGCCACAGGACTGCGGCGGGGCTCAGGGCGTGCCTGCAGAGGGTGAGGCAGAAAGCTTGCCTGCCCATCAACAGACCGGCCAGTGCTGGGAACATACTCCCAGGTCCCCTAGCAGAGGGCAGCGCTTCCTGGAACAGGTGACAATCACTGACTTGGCAGGTATCCCAGAGCGAGGACAGAACCTTCTCACCTGTCACCTGTCATTCTCAGTATTTAGCTCAGGGACAGGCTCACACCACTCATCGACTTCCTGCTTCAGGCTCCACCCCTTGGGCAGACTGTCCCATGCTAAGACAGTCATAGGCAAAGAAGGTAGTCAGAGCCCTGAGGTGAAGCCTCAGAGGCGGATGGGAGGCGAGTCTAGGCTGAGGCCAAACAGACACCACCACAAACAGTCACCAGTTTTCCTGGCTGCTTCTAAGGTCTCCATCAAAGGCTATCCCAGCCTCACTGCGCTACATGACCTCTTGGCTCCCCATGGCTGCCCCTGCACCTGCCATCCCTTATCCATCTGAAAGGCTCTGCTAACTGTCCTCCCTCATCTCACTGACTCAGTCACGATTTCAGGATACTTGCGCTGTGTCCACCTGGCTGCTCGGTAAGGTCCCAGGGTAGGCAGGACCCAAATAATCTCCAGCAGGGTATTAGCATCAAGGAGATGCGGTGAATACTGAAAGGAGCATGCACAGGAGCGCGCGCACGTGTGTGTGTGTGTGTGTGTGTGTGTGTGTGTGTGTGTGTGTGTGTATGTGTGTGTCTGTCTGTCTGTCTGTCTGCCTGCCTGTGTGTCGGTCTGCCTGTGAGGAACAGGGAAGGGGAGCGTGTTGGAAGTCAGGCACATGGTCCCTTTTCTTTCAGGACCACATACCTGGGGTTGTCCTGCAGGCATTGGCCCAGGTCCTCAGCTACCCCCCCCACAGAACCCTACCTGGCCAGGAAGAGCTGGAAGGGCACTCGCACAGGGAAGTGGGCACTGCGGGCGCCTATGACCTCCAGGACACCAGCCTGGCGCAGCTGCTCTGCCACGTGCCCCACATCAAAGAGGCCTGGGAGCTGTCAGCCAGAGAGGGGCACAACCAAGGAGAGCTGGAGTCGGGGGACTAGGGCTGACGGAGGGTCTCAGAGAAGGGAGGGGCTGTGGAGAGCAGGGCAGGGGTGAGGTTAGGGCAGGGGTGAGGTCGGGGGAAAGGGAGCTCACCTTCCCAGGGGTGGGGTTCAGACAGTGGATGACATAGACATGGCTCCTGAAGAGTGAAGGGGACAGTCACAGACCAGGCTACCCTCCAGCTCCCTGGGGTCCAGGGCGCGGTCCTCACCTGCCTAGCCGGGCTAGCAGGTCCCCCAGGGACCGCTGGAACCGAGAGGCCAGTGTGGGTTTGCTCTGCTCTCTCCCAGCCTTCGGCTCTGCTTCCTGGAACAGGCTGCCCACAAGCTGAGGGGTGAGAGGAGTCTCAGCCGTTTCCATCCTGGGCCTGTCCACTCACCACACAGCCCCTGGGGAGCCAGGACACGCAGCCCTCAATACTGGCCCCCTGCATGCTCGTTCCTCCAGCCAGGGGGGCACGGTGGCAAGGGCTAGCCGCGCAAGGCTTGATGGTGGCTAAGCTACGTGGGCACCTGAAAGGCACGCCAGGTCACCTGCAGCTGGCTCTGTCCAAGCATCTCCACCATGGCAGAGTCCAGGTGGTCCCTGTTCCTGCTTATGAACTTGTGCACCTGCAAGAGAGGCGGCAGGTGGGCAGCCCTGTAAGAGGCTGGTTGTGCACCATGCCTCAGAACACAGGCAGGCCTCGGCGTTGCATAGTCCTGCTGGGCGCCTGGCCTTTTGGTTCATCCCAGAAAACATGGGTCCATGTTTTAGCAAAGCTGTCTTCTTCCAGGGCATGTACGGCAGGACAGTTTCCTACCCCTTCATCCTCTGCCTCCTCGGTATTCTCTTGGTGTGGGAGCCCAGCTGGGAGACAGGCTCCCACATTTTTCAACAGGGAACTCTTGAGGAGAGAGGGATAAGAGATATTAGAAGGATAGAGGGGAGAGAAACAGAAATGTAGGATAGCCTTGGAAGGGCCCAGATCATTATCCACTGGCCCCTTCTGTCTCTTCTAAAGGGCCTTTTATAGGAATGCCAAGGGGTGGAGCAAAAGACCTCCCCCGCAGCTCAGCCAAGTGCAGATCCTTTCCAGTCACCTGGTAACCACACACCTGGTCAAGCAATTCTTTAATGCAGCTCTGCTGGGTAAAGCAAGCTCAGACCTCACTAGACCTTTGTGGGACTCCACATCTTAGTTACTCTCATGAGTATTTCTTCTCTAGATCTCAGAATAGTGGGGCTAGAGAGGTGGCTCAGTGGTTAAGAGCACTGGCTGCTCCTACAAAGGACCGGGGTTCAATTCCCACACTCACATAGGAGCTCATGCATGTGGTGCAGGCAGGCAAAATATCCATACACACAAAATAAATAAATCTTTAAAAAGAAAAAAAAGCTGGACAGCGGTGGCACAGGCCTTTAATCCCAGCACTCAGGAAGTAGAGGCAGGTGGATCTCTGTGAGTCTGAGGCCAGCCTGGTCTATGAAGGGAGTTCCAAGACAGCCAGTATTGTTACACAGAGAAACCCTGTCTCAAAAAACAAAACAAAACAAAAAAAGAAATCCCAGAGTAATTTTTCTTGTTGTTATTTTTAATCAAAACCCAATCTCAAGGACAGGACTGTAGCTCAGCTAGAAGAGCCCTTACCTAACATACACCCAAGGCTGTGGGTTTGAATCCCAGCATGACCTGAACTGGGTATGGGTGTTGCACAGCCACAACCCCAGCATATGGAGATTGGAGGCAGAAGGATGGGAAATTTAAGGTCATCCCTGCCTAGAAAGAGACCTAACGACCAGATGAGGCAATATGAGATCCTGTCTCAAATCAAGGGCCAGGGATGATGGTACATGCCTTTAATTCCAACACTTTGGGAGGTAGAGACAAGTGGATCTCTGTGAGTTTGAGGCCAGGTCTACAGAGTGAGTTCCAGGGAAGCTGGGGCTACATAGACAAACCCTGTGTGAAAAAAACAAAAACAAACAGGACAAAACCCACCCAAACCAGTCCCTTCCCCTCCTGCAGGAATCCACAAGAGTTTTCACCAGATCAGCGTTATTTTTCTAGATTCACCAGGCAAGAACTGGCTATAGGAAGAGGTCTGTGCTGGTGAGGTTTTGTTGTTTGTTTGTTTTTTGGTCAACTTGACACAGGCTTGAGTCATCTGGGAAGAGGGAACCTCAACTGAGAAAAAGCCTCCATCAGATTAGCTTGTAGGCAAAATATATGTGGGGCATTTTCTTTCTTTCTTTTTTTTTTTTTTTTAGATTTATTTATTTTTATATATACAGCATATATGCCTGTACAGCACTAGATCTCATTACAGATGGTTGGGAGCCACCATGTGGTTGCTGGGAATTGAACTCAGGGCCTCTGGAAGAGCAGTCAGTGCTCTTAACCTCTGAGCCACCTCACCAGTTGTGGGGCATTTTCTTGATGAATGATTGATGTGGGAGGGCCCAGCCCACTGTGAACAGTGCTTGTGTGGCAAAAGAAAATTAGATAAACCGGTTGTGATGGCCCACATCTTTAATCCCAGCATTCAGGAAGCAGAGGCAGTTGGAGGCCAACCTGGTCTACAGAGCGAGTTCCAGGACAGCTAGGGCTAAACAGAGAAACCCTGTCTTGAAAAACAGAGAGAGAGCCGGGCGGTGGTGGCGCA